AAGTCTGAGGTTTTTGGATTTTATGTTAAATAGCATTTTTTTAAGTTGGAGTTTATTTAAGCCTTAGTTTAAAAAAAGAAAAGAAAAGCTATAAAAAACAAGTCATAAAAGAGTACAATTTAAATAATCCAAGTTGGATTCAAGCCTGTATTTAACGTCATCTTGTTGTAATCTGTGTTCTTTCAGGGCAGCTTTCCTCTGCAACAGACAGTGATTTTAAATTATTATGGACATCTAAACAGGGATTATAATCACTAGAACCAGCTGCCTTGTGAGCAAAGTGCACTATGCTGTAAGACTGCAAAAATCACAGAAACTGTGTGAGCATGCAAAATCCTCCGTACAGAGGGTCCGGTGTCTGCTCATATAAAAATATACTAAGAAAAAACAACCAGGTATAATAATCTCATTTGCAAGAATATAAACCTGAGAAATTGCTGGGACAATGTAAGTATTAAAACCTCAGGGCATATTTCAGATGTTTACGTCTGGTGTGTTTAAAGAATGTGCAGACAGCCCAACGTTCATCCCTGCACCCAGACATTTCTTTGTAAATAATTGAACTGCGCTCCATGTTTTTTGAATATTGAATGCATAGAGCCTGGCAGGAGCAGCCGAGCAACAGCAAGGGTTTGTGGACTTGACTCACTTTTTTTTTTTTTTTTTGAATGGTTGAGGAAAATGTAGGTCAGAACAAAACACTTAGACCTGCACACTTAGAGATGCATTAGAGCTGAACATTCACGAGCTCATTTAATCTATTTAACTCCTCTATAGTCATAAAACAGCACATTTGAATTTAGTAAGATGTAATAGACAACCATCAATACTCGTCTTTGTCGGTGCCTGCTCTTCAGGAATTGTCAGTCAATTAAAACTCCTTTATAAACTGTGATTAGCTGTGACGCACCAAAGCAGCAACGCTATTACAGTAAACCTCAGAAAATATTGCACATTATATTTATTCTTTGACTTTGAGTAAGATAAAGAAAATTTAAAGATTTTTTTTTTTAATTAGCATTTTAAACACATCAACAGGCTGACAGTAAAATTCTCGGCTTTTCAACTTGAGGGAACTTAATTTTGACACTTCTGCCTCCTGATGGCTAAAGCTCGACGCTCCTCGTCTGTTGTGTGAATGACAACACACAAAGCTGCTGAAGATGTCTTGTCCTTTGAGGAGCCCATCAGTGTTCATAATTATCTGAAAGCTGGTGTCAGATTGCAAAAATGTGTTGTTTTTTTTTATCTTTCATATCTTTCAATCCCTGTGAACTAAAGCACGAGACTGTGTTGCAATTCGTTTTACTCCCCTATAACTCATTAGTTGTTCCATTAGGTTGGATTTCATTTAAAAACAAATGTCACAATGAAACACTGTTGTTAATCAGTGTGTTTGCAATGAGTCTTAAAGGAATGTTTAGATTTTTTTTTTTTTTTAGAAAAGTGAGGTTTTATGAAAAGAGGATGAACAATTAATATCTTACTTGTAGAAGATAAATTTTTGAACAACCTCACTCTGGAGAAATAAACTTTAATTCTGGCTGACTTAGTGAGCTAGCAGTTAGTCCGAGCGGGGCTGAAATGGATGCTGCTTATCAAAAGATTGATAGCAGTTCATGCAAACACTGTTTTATAAACCTTTACAGCAGTGTCAGTTCTGTACTATATGATTATTCAGGCAGACATGATAGTATATTCCTACAGGAAGTGACCCAGACTGCACTGGAAGTGCTACAGCTAGCTGCTGCTGGGTCCATATGCTCTTAGATATATCCATAGAATTCCGTGTAAATGATGATGCATTGTGAAACTGCCTGAAAATGTTTAAAGTTTTGAACTGCTATAAAACTTTGAGAATGAGTTGCTGTTTTGATCCGAATTTGTCAATTTAGTGAATTAAACACTATTCCTCTAAACCAGGGGTGCCCAAAGTGGGGTCCGCGGGCCAAAGTTGGCCCACCAAGCCGTTTGAATTGGTCCACCATGCTGTCCTTATTACTTTATTAAAATTTTCTTTGAAGGTAAGTAAGTAAATAAGTAATGATCCTGCACTTAATTTTTTTTTCCATTCAACCTTTATTTAGAAATCCCATTGAGCCTCGAGGACTCATTTACAAGAGAGACCTGATTTCAACAAAGAATACACTTTGAATACAAGAATACACTTATAAATCACACATAATCCATTTAAAAGTAAATTATAAATATGGACGGGCTTCAGTGGTGATTTTAGCCTCTTTTTGGGGCTGCTCAAGCACCCCTAAAATTTTAACTCGGCACCCCTGAAAAATTAAGAAACCATCATTATGATTTTGTAAAGAAACAGTTCTCAAACCTTTGATTCACCAAAATATTACTTACTACTGTTTTTCTTTTTATGTTTTATGCTATCTACAACAGGTTAGATATTGTGTGCTCGTAAGCTTTTCCACTTCATGTAGTTTGAACTGTTTAAAAGTCAGTGAATATAGGGTTTCAGAGCTGTGTTTCCTACTTTATGTTTGTTTAAAACATTAATAATAATTTTAAAAAAAAACTCACCCAACATTTCAGTAATAAATTTGAAATGTATAAACAGTGTCACCAAGATCTAAGAGTGAAACAGGGTGCATTCCTTCTTAAACCCATAGAGTATGTACATTTGACAACATAAGAAGCAGCTCAGAATCAGACACCTGAATAAAATAAACCCCGTCTGCAGCTTTGATGAAATTCCTCTTCACCATTTTACCCGACTCCCCCTCCTCTGCTCGTAACTCCCCGTGGATCTCCTCTATTTCTCTCCTTTTCCTCCTTTCTGTTTGCCTCCTTCACCTTGAGGGGCTGACTGCTGAGAGGCAGTCTTTCATTGACAGCAGGGGAGGCAGCTGAAGGCAAGCCTGTAGGGCAAACTGACGGCCATAACTGTGTGTGTGTTTAAGTGTGCAAAAATTGTTATCATTATACGGTAGAAAGACACAACACAGTTACAAATATTCAGAAAAATAAACATTTATGTACATTTAAGCTAAATTCAAAGGATATTTTTATATTGCACAGTCATACTAAAACCCAAACAGGCTCATTAGCTTATGATAACCTGAGTGTTATGAGAGGGCCAATAAAAGCTTATGGCATTATTAGAGCATCAATCCTGGCTGCAGACTTTTCACATCATACCCACCCCTTCTTCAGCCTTTTTCCTTGTCTGCTGTTTTCATACCTCAGACGGTTCAATAAAAACAACAATCTAATAAAGTAATGCAGGGGACAGACTGGATGCATCAGTGCAATATCCTGCACAAGGTGGAGGCTTGTAGGCGTTAGCCCACCGGAAGCCAGATGTTGTTATTATTAGAGGGACAGGGAGAGGATCTGATTTTCATTTGTCCCTTCCAAGTAATCAGGGCCAAAAGGTCAAGTAACTGATTAGTTAAATAAGCTCTGCATGTAGCGTGTGCTTCTTTAGTGTGTAGGGAAAAGCAGCTGATGGTGAGCGGCTCGGCTGCAAATGATGCAGCTTCTTTCTGCAGAAGTGACGAAATGAAGCATTTACAGATGTATTTTTAATACGCACAATGACTTAAATTTAGTTTTAAAGCTGTTACTTGATCTTAACCTGCTTTTAGCATCAAAAATAATGGTAATAAAAAGAAAATAATACCTTGTCCTGCACACATAAAGTCACAAGATGTTCTTGTGATCCCTCAGGTCCCAACATTTCAGGGTGATGTTGGTAATTAACCATCTGTCCAGAACATTTACACTGCGAGTCAGACGTGATGTGTTCCGCTCATGAGAACATGAAAGCATGTAAATAAAGACAACTAACTGATGCACATTTTTTTAAATGAGTTGTGCATTATTTTTGTTTTGTAAACATAAAAGCAATTCCTGTAAAGTAGATCTCATTAACCTTCAGGTAGTTCAGTAAGAAGCACGCAGGTGAATTGATGTTTTCCCAGAATTCTTTGTTGGTTTATTTCAAGGTAAACACGGGCAGATGTGAAAATTTACAATTTCATTGCAAAGTCTAGTAAAAATATTAATTTTATCAACGAAAAATGTGGCAGAAACAGCATATTGTTCTGATTGTTCGTTTTGTGACTCTTTTATTGGAAATTATGTAAATCATTAAGTCACATAAAATTATAGATTATATACAGTTTATATGTATAAATATAGGGGGAGATTTTTTTGTTGTTGTTGCATTTTGCTTATTCCTTCAGTAATTTAAAAATTCACCGATATTTTACCTTATTTTCCAAAACTTTTATGTGACTAGAAATTGTTAAGTCTATACATTAACACGTCATCTAATAATAATTCAGAAGATAATGCATGTATTTTTTGATGTTTACAAAAAATACTTGATCATGAAGTCACTGTCCAGGAAAAAAAGCTGATAAAAATGAGAAACAGGGCTGTTTTAGCTACTGAAAGTAAACAAAAAGCAAATATTTTAATGTTTTGCAGTTTATTTGATTGACCAAATCAATGTTTTATGTGAACAGTATCAATTATTTTCATGCTTTTACAACAAAAAATGCACATTTATTCAACACAGAGCTGATTTTATGACTTACTGTTGCTCTTCCTACTGAACTGTGGCTCTTCAAACACCAGACAATTTTTAAACACCTTAAACTGTGACTATGTTGAACTTGTGTTGCATTAGCAAAAAAAAAAAAGTGACTACATTTTTTCTCTCTCACTAAAAACAGTTTAAACTGTAGCCTCGTTTCATGACGCAGCAAATAAAAATCTTGACAGCTGATGGCTTCATCAGAATGCGTGCCTCTAATTAAGAAAGCCAGCTATTCAGATCCCTCCAAACAAAAGTCTTATCTTCTATTCACAGAGAATCGTGTGGATGAATAAAACATCCAGACAGAAGGAGTACAGGTCTTCTTCTTGTACTTTCCTCGCAGTCAGTCACAGATTCTCATTATCACGAAGAGCAGAATCGTAGGATGAATGTGATTTGAGAGCACAGACATTTAAATAAAACAACCCGCTGGAAAAAAAAAAAAAGAAAGCAGCTGCTGTCGATCAGCTCGGGCCCACGATGTCAGAGCAACAGAAACACAGTGGAACAGACACTCAGCACAGGTCACAGCTTGTCTTTATTCAGAATTCAAACCAAGAGGGCAGGGACAAGGTCACACACGCTGATAAATTACACCAGGTATCAATACAACTAACACATCACAATATCTGATTAAAGCGCTTTCGACAATCGATCCAACATTTAAAAATAACAATACACAAAGATAGTTCAGCTGCAGCTGAAGCCCATAGGAGCGTTGACACGAAACAGTGATGTGCACTATATCTCCATTTCCACCAGCCAACTTGTGTTTAATCAAAGTATGAGACTGGCAGCTGAAGCAGTTTTATAGTTCACATAAATAAACTGTAGGTCTTAACAAAGGAAACCTTGCTACTACAATGCAAACACGCAAAGCTAGCCTGAGTGCACAACTGTATGCACAGCTTGGGGTGATTTCAGGGTTTATGGCACAGCACATTGAAAATGTAATTGTACAGAAGCTATCAAACAGCAGCAGTCATTCTAGCTGTGGACGTTAACCTCGGACCATCTGCTGAGAAGCATTCTTTAAGAAACAATGATAAAAGATGGAGAATACTAGAGTGATGTTACAGGAACTATATTAAAAAATACAGCAAAAGAAAATGCTTAAAGTCCCAAAACTAAACACGTAAAAATGAGTGGTAGAGATATTCGAAACAAACAAAATTACCTGTAACTGGTGCTTTTGTACAAAAAAAGTGGCAATGGCATACAAAACATCTGTTCATTACATTTAAAAACAAATACATCATGACAGTAAATGTCTAATAAATTAGATGAAGGAGGTAAACAAGACTATGCAGGCTGTGTGAGAGCAAGAACCAGCCAAAATCCATAAACAATAATCCCTGGAAAGAATGAGCATACACATGTTCAGGGGATGTTTTGGGCATCCTGAGAGCTTGAATAAAAGGCAACTGGACTCCCCCCACATGTCGGATAAAACCAAAAAAATATGTTTTCAAGAACCAAGAAAGGAAAATGTGTTGCCTTCTATTCAAGCATTTAGAACAACCATGATGGATGATTTTAAATCTACACCAACTCAATGTGTGCATGCATGTTTTTACTCTATTCTTTATTTTTAGCTGTTGTTTCTTTTTGTCTATAGCTCTAAATGTTTATCAATGAGTTGTTCTTGGTCTACCTCCACTTGTTTTCATTTTCATGTGTTTGTGTGTGTTCACATCCTGGAAGCTAACTCAGTGGCCTTCGCCGCTCGGAGGTTTAGCTTCGTGTCCTGTTGCCCCTCCAGGCAGCCAGGGGGAGACAGAGTGAGAGGTGGTCTGCTTGGCCATGCTGTAGTGGCTGATCACCGTGTAGAAGCGACCCCTGGAGTTGGCATCTTGGGCAGCGTAGTAGGCCTCAAGAGAAGCTGGGATACACCTCTTGTGCTGTGGACAAGAAGACTGGTCGATTTGTTCTGTTGACACACCTCAACAAGGCAGACCGGCACAACTGTCGCACCGTTTTACATGTACAGTAGTCCCTCGCTACTTCACGGTTCGACTTTCACAGACTCGCTCTTTTGCGGTTTTTTAACCATTGTCAACTTTAGTTACTCACGTGACTGGGATGGTATGGAATAAAAAGCTAATGAAAACAAACTTTGGACAGGCACTAGCCATTCAGTAGTTTTCTTTCAATAAGCTACACTGTAACCCGTGGTTAATTTGAGCCGGATCCTGCCGGAACAAGATCCGGGAACTCCCTCATTCTGACTGACTGAATTCCAGCAACTGTTTCCTCAGATCCAGCAAATCTCCGCCCCTAAAAGTCTATAGTCATTGCACATTTTTATTTTGATTATTTATTAAAAATACAACGAGAGAAGACTTGTTGCCCAGTCTGTGGAGTGGATGTTCCAGCCGCACTACGCGCACCAGCTCGCAAACACGCTCCTGTCAGCTGCGTGGCGCTGACGGTGGGGTGTCAGCTTCACACAGCTGCTCCAGCCCAGTAGAGACGTGGACCGCATGTCTAGCGGGGAGCGTCTTCATGCTTTAGCTGTGCGCCCTGCAGACGGTGCATGTTTTATGCACAGGAGCATCTCCAGACAGCTCTCCACAGCTGCTGATGTGTGGGAACTCCTGCACATAGACATATATACACACAGCTGAAGGTGGATGAAAACGCTCCCCGCGGGACATGCAGTCCGCATCTGTGCTGGCAGGAACGTGGTGCAGCTGGAACATCCACTCCACAGACTGGGCAACGTCTCCTCTCATTGTATTTTTAATAAATAATCAAAATAAAAATGCACGATGACTTTGGACTTTTAGGGGCGGAAATTTGGGGGGTAGGACATTTGACAGAATCAGAGCTGATCTTTTCACAGGCTGTTCTTCTTGCTCTCTAAAATAGTAATTTGAATTCAACCTTTATTTCTACAGGTTGTTTGTCTCAATGAGCCTCAAGGACTCATTTACAAGAGAGACCTGCTTTTAATCAATTTAATCAAATGTTTACAAATGTAGGTAAACAAAGATTTTTAACAACATGTTAAAATACACCAAAATGCAGGAAATGGCATCCATTTTATTGCAAATTTTCTGGGGGAGGACCCACAGACACACTCCTCCCCACTGGACCGCCCGCTATTTGTGTTCTGGCATCAATCAGTTTACAAATTAAGCCCTGACTGTAACGCTGGTCAAAAGAACTACACGGCCCAGAAGCCAACAGTGCTTCTGGCCGCTGCTTTCTGCTGAAATGGAGGGATAGTTTTGCAATGCAATCAGGATCAATCTATCTATTAAACTCACAGAACTGGCAAGAGTGTTAAAAAATAATCCTGAAGCTCAATTATCCACATGCACGTTAATGTTTCTCCTACCATTATACTTTGTACAGTACAAGCAGGGCACCCTGCCCCGTTAACAGAACCGAGCGCCCCGCCTATTGAACCGAACTACAGTGATTGTAACAACTTTGCTGTGAAACCGCAAAAAAAATATGGAACCAGAATCACGTCTCTATCTGGAAAATATTTAATGAACTTTTTGAAGAAGTTTAAGGGCACAACTTTTAATACTAAAAATGAAACGTGTTTGGCACGTCTGTAGTTATTTTATTCTGTTTTTCACGTGTTCTGTTTAATTTTAGCTGCTCTGCAGAAGTTGTCAAAGTTTTTTTGAACAGTTGTTTAATACATAGATATTTATCAGCATCCACATTCTAAAACACCAACAGAAGAGTCAGCACAACCCTGTATGAAAGCTCAGACAGCCGTCGAAGTGCACTTCCTTTCATGATGCTCTGTGTACAGCTGGACTTGCACATCACATTTTACTGCAGTCGCCCTTAAACACTATATTTTGTAACATATTTATATTAAACTGATCTTTTAAAGACTGAAAATCACAGAGAAAACCAAATCTGGTGTTTTTAGTTCCTTTAAAAAGCCCATAAGGCAACTTTTTAGTTTAGTTTCTTCAAGGCTAAACAATTTAATCAAATCAAAATTATAATTCTAATAGATTTGTTCAGTCTTTAGAGAAATTACCTTTATTTTATTTCTACTTAGTGCATATTTGGGCTCTCTGTACACTGCGGGTCATATTGTAAAGTGAAATGTGACTTTCTTGTGACTGCAACTCGATGCGGTCCACCTTAAAAACATTCAGCGAGGTTTACAGACTTCCAAGGTGACCTTTATCGAGGTACAGTGCACCTCAAAAGCAGAATGCAGCAGAGGGAGCGGAGAAAGAGTTTTGTACATCCATTCACTGAACAGCAGAAGCTTCTGCTCCACAGATTGTTGGATAAGAGTCGCTCTGAGAACCATTTTCTTTTACCACCTCCGCCATGTAAAAATGAAACATAATGTGGTAATCATTATAAAACAGACAACATGGCTCTTCTTCCCTTATCTTTTCATAACAGTGCTTCTACCCTATAAATTATAAAAACCGATATAATAGAATATATTTCTCTTGCAAGCAAAGAAACTTCAAAATACCATTTATAACAAAATCTTTGCTTTCATTGATTGACGATTGCTTATCGGGTTTCGTAAGCCTCCTCCAGGTACATGACCTCTGAAAACAGAAGTAGGCCAGGAGTACCTTTTCTCGTCTTCTCCCATAGGGGGCTGCACTCAACTTGACTTCTTTATTTAGATAAGTGAAGAAAAAAATGGAGAAAGTCAAAGCCAGAGAAAAATTGAGTCTTTTGGTCAAAGACTTTTCTGCAAGGAAAATATTTTTAAGCATCACAAACTAACTTGCATGCTAAAAGAGGGAATATTTTAATATTAATAACCGATTGTAATCTAAATAAACTGAACTTTCCCTTTAAATTTACTCTGAATAAACATTTACTTGTTGGCCTATTTACCTAAACAGAAGCTTTCCTTTGACCCAGTGTCCAATCCAGCTGCTAGACTAAGCTCCTGACTTGTCTGAGCTCTGAATAGATCATGAAATATGAGCCACTTAAAGGTCTTACCTTATAAATGAATCCATCTGGGCAGGCGTGGTCGTAGGTGAAAGCTTTATAAACCACCAGGAACACGATGCAGGCAAGGAAGGCCAAGGCCAGGATGATCAGAACTGTCACCTGGAGGAGGGACAAACGCATGGTCAGTGTGTGTGCATGTGTGTGTGGTTTATGTAAGTGAGGAAGGGTGAGGGGTTAGACAGTGAGGAAGATGAAGTGTGTGCACTGAAGTGGGTCTGTGAGTTGTCATAATAAATGGTAAGGTGCTGCTGAATGAGGTTAGTGGCTCCTCGAGGCAAGGTGTTCTGTTCTGGAACATGATGGATGACTCCAGTCATGATGCTGCCAGAAACTACCGTTACCACAAACACAGTGTTCCTTGGTTCAGATAAGTATAAGGCGTCAAGTCAGAGAGTTGAATCAGAAGAATCGTTTCTCCTCTACTCTTTAATGTTCTCGTTTTTTCGTTGGTTTTATTAGATCTGTCCATTGCCACAGTCTGCCACAACACAACGCAGAAAGCTCAGCTTCTAAAATGTTTTAACTATTTAGATTTGTTAAAATAAAATTAACATTAATATTCAAACACAGAACGTGGTGAAAGAAAGACTAAAAGCAATGAAATGGGATTCAGACGCATCATTTGCACCAAAATTTAGACCACACAGACAAAACAATGTCCCCTGATGACATGCCTGTTAAAGTTTTAAGCTATTAAATAGCATTTGCAAAATTCACCAACATTGCAATCAATGAAGGGATAGTTCAAATCAATTGTTCTATGGAAAAGTTATGAACAATTAATATCTCACCTGTTGTGGATAGCTCTTTGAACCACTCAAATCACAAACATTTCCCAACTTTTCATTAGGCAATATTTTATAAACCCTCACACTGTCTCCAGTGTTGCACTTAATGTCAGCTGTGTGAAATTTCTGCCAAAAGTGCCTCTGGCTGCACCCGAGGTGCTACAGCTAACTGCTGCCGACCCTATTTACTCCTGCTAATAAATATAGAATCATATGTACTTTGTAAATGATAGTAGCATTTATTTAAATCGCCCGCTGCTTTGCATGCCAAAGTTTTAAACACAGTTCTTGTGCAATTTCTAAGTACTCAAAGTAAGTAATGGGATGACTCTCAGCTACTACCATATAAAATTAGCTGTTGATTAAATGTGGCAGCCATGTTGAATCAGGTTGATTTGGAAAAAGTCTGTAGAATAAATTTGTTTTAAAATAGCAGCAATCACCTTAGTTCAGGTACCACTCAAACTAGATAATAAATTGGTCATCAGTGTTTCCCCTACCATTATACAAGCAGGGCGCCCCACCCTGTCAACAGAACCAAGTGCCCTGCTTACCACATCCCCCCCCCCCCAACCTCCATTGAGAACTGCCGTCACCAACGCAGCGCTAAGCTACCAGTGCACAATACATACACACTAGCTAAAAAGCTATGACTATGGAGGCAGCATTTTGTCTCCCTCACAATGAACCGTCTCAAGCAGTCATCTCTCCCCCCCACCCCCCACACAAACAGGCATGTGTCCCCCTCCCACACTATCGACAAAAATCACGGAAGATATGAGCACCCTGCCAAGGCAAGTAAATTAGGAGAAACACTGGTCAGAATTAAGCTATTTCTCCAAACTGAGGCTGTTTTAAGAGCCATCTGTAACAGGTAAGACAGTATTTGTTGATAACAATTCAAATTTGCACGCTCAGAAATATTACTGTTTTAAACTGAAAATAGTGTGCATACAGTGGACAAATAACTCCAACATAATGTACAACTTTTTCTGTTGTCGGTTTTTGTTTTTCTGTTTTCTAGCATTTGTTGTGTCCTTATAACATAGTTGTGCTTCTATAAAAACCCAACCAATCTCTAAATGGTACATAGGTTTACTTTTGTTCAAAGCAACTGCTAATGATTTTATTTTGTTTTTAGCATCTCCTTCGTAAGGTAAGACTCCATCTTCAATAAGGTAAATAGCTTCATTTCGCTGTGCCGCTCCGGCTAAATGTAGTTGATTTGACTATTGAAGTGCATTTATTAAGTAAAAGTTCAACTGAGACACACCTTTGCTATAATGTCTAGCAAACAAATACTTATTTTAGGTGCTTATCTAGTTAAATTTCTAAGAAATGTGCAGTGAGTCGTTCCTCTGCGCACTCCCGCTTCCACGAATCAGCTTTTGCTCCCGCGGCCGCCATTTGGCAGCCCATCAAATTTTTGCCTCAACACTGGCCCACATTTCTGGGTTGTCAGCAGGGCCAGATTAACACTTTGCTGTACCCTGGGCAACAATCTTCAAGGGCCCCATCATCACGACCCCAGAATCACCATAATCTGGCAAAATACAGAATAAATTACCATAACATACAGTAAATATACTTAAATTTCTAACTATCAAGTGTATTTTTATGTATAAAACTCCAAATGCTCATTGACAAAAATCATCAAGACTGAATTAAGTTGAACGCACTTTGAACACCACATGACACCATATGTGTACTTGTTTAGTAACGTGTTGGCCACTGGCGTCAGAAGCATTTATAATGTGTGTGGGGGAGGGACACACTGATGGGGTGGTCTGGGGGTCCTCCCCCAGAAATTTTTGAATAAAGTAGATGTCATTTCCTGCATTCTGGTGTATTTTAATGGTTGTTTAACATCTAGTTTTACCTACACAAGTAAACACTTGGAACACCTTGGGATTCCCCTGGAGGAGCTGGTCCAAGTGGCTGGGGAGAGGGAAGTCTGGGCCTCCCTACTTAGGCTGCTACCCCCGCAGATGGATGGAAGTAAACACTTGATTCAGTAACTATTTTAGAGCTAATGGCACAACAACAAGTAGCCTGACCAACAGTTGATTCAATGAAATAAAAATATTATATATTCAAAGGTGATGATTTGATGCCCAAATTAAAATTAAATGCCTGTAACTTGGTTGACTTCAAATGACATAAGATTATCAATGAATGTTTGTGACAAAGGATTTACTGAGTATAACAAAGACTCCTTCAAGAAACCTCCCAATATAAATCACAAAACCAGAATGATTTCTGCTCATTCTAAATTTGTCAAATGGCCAAAATCTCCTAAAGTGAAGGAGAATCATTTTAAAATAATAAATAAGATATATCCTGTAGCCATGTTTCTGCAAAGAATATTTAAATTTGAGGTTGATTTGCGTGCCTTTTGCAAATCAGAAGATGAATCCCTCAAGCAAGTTTTTTATGTTAATACAAAGTCTTTGGTCAGACATCAGAAACTGGATGAATCTCAAACTTAATATTCCTTCTTTTGATGCTGATGACATTTTACTTTATGTGGATAACTGAAGCTCAGCTTTCTCTGAAGCCATAAATATAGCCATACTTATAGCAAAGTACAACATTCAGTGTAGTAAGAGAAGGGATAATAAGCCCCCCTTCCTGTTTGATGAATGATTTTAAGTCATACTATTCTTCATTTAGTAGATTAAAAAACTGCAAAACTGCTAAAATCATCTAACAACAGATACAAACTTAATGTTTTAATTAAAACAATGTTTCTCAAGAAAAAAACCCTGATGAGCTTGTCAGCAGGTAAGGGGCGTTTACCTTCGGGACAAATTGAGGTTGTCGATTGGTCAGTTATTGACATGCCTTCTGAGTTGATTGACAGGTCGCACAGTCGAGGATCCGATTGAAAAAAGAAAAGAAAAAAAACGGAGAACTGCAGTAGCTGCGCTGGGAGGAGGCGGGGATGCACAAATGCAGCGGAAGCGCAGCATTGTCTCTGTGCAGCGCGTAGCTCCAAGTAAAGCAGGAGATAACCAGATATTCTGCTTGTGCCCTCACTGCCCTGGGCCCCTTAGAGATCACGGGCCCCTGGGCAGTTGCCCATATGGTTAATCCGGCCTTGGTTGTCAGTGGTGACGCGTAATAGATGCGACTTAAGGCGAAGCAACGTCTTTATGTTTTTTTTCCACTTTATTAGACATATTTAGACTGATGCGACTTATATGTGCGATGTGTACGGTGGAAAATATGGTAAAGGACATTAACATAAAATGTAAAAAGGTCTATTTCTTTATACGACCTACATGAAATACTGATTGGCGCTAAAGAGTGAGCATTTAATTAAAATTATGCTAATCAAACACAAAGAGAGCTGTAGATGTGTGTGTGTGTGTATGGTTGGGGGGGGGGGTTAAATAACTCTTTCATGCTCAAAAATGAAAAGTAATGTCAGATTCCCCCCTCCTGTCAGAAATCTAAACAACAAACATATCAAATGTCCTGTTTTCTATTCTTTACTGGAACTAAATCAATTTCCGATTACTGCTTCGTATACAATCTGTCACAGCGAGATGTCAGAGCAATTACACGACTGTGATCATCAGTCTCCAGCGGCGTTATGGGGGTGGACAGGGACACGCACGCTAAGTGACTGTTTACTCCGTGTCAACTAGGGGACACAACTCTCACCCCTGCTGTGTTTTGACACTCCTGGTAAATTACGTCCCGCATCACACACTGCCATACATTAAAGGCCTGTGTGTGTTTAAAGTCAGGGTGACCCGCCTTTAGAAGCTGCAGCAGAGACACAATGACTGATTTAAGATTCACCCAACGGCTGCTTCTTGTCTGATGAATGCATCTGTCATTTTATTAAGAAGAAGGATTAGAAAGCTTCTTGTATCATAAAAAACAGTGCAAGAGTTAAATGAATGTAAACTTTGTTTGGACTCATGGCATGAACACTGCAAGCTGCTACTGACCACAGAGGTTTCCACTTTTCTGTGCAACTTGAAGGGATTGAATATAATCAAAGTTAATTTATGCATTTGAACTGTGTGTGTGTGTGTGTGTGTGTGTGTGTGCGTGTGTCCTTGTTTATGCTACTTTGTGAGGCCCATTTTTCCAACTTA